AAAGCAAATAGAAATATTTAAAATAAATTAAAATATTTTTTGTAGTGAAATTCACAAATTTTAGTGGATAGTGGCATAGGTTTTGACAAATGCAGTCATATAGTCACTGTCACAATCATGAAATTATGTAATTCCAACACCTCCAATATTTCTACCATTCCCCTTCAAGCCCTTCGATTATCTGTTTTCTGTCCCTATTATTTTGGTTTTGATAGCTTTAATAGCAAATAATATAGAAAATGTTCAGTGAGTTAAAACAGTTATGTATCTGAGGCCCTATTTATAGATTTGTCCTTGAAGGTTGCAAATAATTAACATGCACAGCCACTAACTCAAAAGTTGATAATTCGAGTCAATACAAAGTACATTGGGAAAAAACCCTACTAGTCTACCTCTGAAAAAAATCTGCCAGGAGGAAGAAAAAAATCTATGGGGTGCACTTCTATTCTGACATTCATGGAGATCAAATGAGTAAAAATCTACTTGGTGGCAACTGGTTTGTTGTTTCTGATTATAACTGAAACAGCAGACCAGAAATTTTTAAAAGTACTTAACACGTTGCTACAAATGATGGCTATAGTGAAAAAATGTGTTTCTAAGCAGGGTCGTCAATTTAAAAGTGTGCGTCAACTTGTTAAGGAACATTTATATGTTCCTTCTGAAGTCTGTGCAGTATTAATTTGAAGATTATTTATAAAGTTATGTTATTTTTATTGAATGACCTATAATAATTGTGTTTTAAAAAGTGAAGCCTTACAAAAAAAGTTAAACCTTTTAATTTACTTTTTAGATACAAAGCAACATTTCATCAATGTGATGTTTGCAAGAAAATTTTTAAAGGTAAATCAAGTCTGGAAATGCATTTTCGTACTCATTCAGGTAAGACTTAATATATTTATACAAATTTATATATGTTTTTATTTGTCATTGGAGTAAATTTAGATTTCATTGTTTCTACTTATATGAACAATATTCTCTATTAAAAATGCTTCAGTACTTTTTATTAAATTTACTCGACTTCAGTTCTCATCTCCCTCTTTATTAAATATGCTCTGATTCTTCTTTATCTATGTTGCTTTTTTAATATAACTTCACAGACTTTCTTAGCTGTTTGATTTTGGGGTTTTTTTTCTTTACTTTTTTAATGAATTATTTTTATTTTATATTGATTTGCTTACAAAGCTTGTATACATTGTGTTTTCCACTATTCACATTGTATTTCATAGTATCATTCCCATACATTGTGTTTTATAAAATTAATCACCATTGATCAATGCCCACCTGTACCCAAAAGAATAATTAAGATTTGATATCATATTTCTGTTTACCATACAGTTTTCTTTATTATATGATCCTTGGTGATTTATAGGTAATTATGGTTAAATTCTTATTTTGCTTTCCAGAATTCATTTCCTAAATTTTTTCTTTTGGGAATGTTACTGTATTCTAAAACATAGTTGATGTTGGATTCCTTTCTTAGTTTTTCTTATGTTCATGTGTAAATGAACAGTTTAAAAAGTGTGCTTACTAAAAAAAATTGTGCTTACTTTCCTCCCCTTCCTTTTCCTCCTATCCCCGCTTTTTCTTATTTTTTAAAAAGAATAGACCCATATATACACTTATGGTAGCTTTGTTTTATGTTGTTTTGGGTTTTGTCAATGCTGCTTTTCTGGCCTAATAACTGTAGTATAAGTTTTGAAAAAACTGACTTACAGCAATTAGTTTGTAACCATTGACAATATAGAATTTTCATCTCTGAATGTATCACTAGTATTTAGAATTAGAAATAAGTCTTTTGCCCATTGAAAATTGAAGACATTAACTTCTTTCTAGAATAAGATCAGTATTATAGTTCTTTTGAAATGCCAGGTAGAAATAATTTAAAGCTGATGTCAGCAAACCTTTTTCTCTTAAACACGATATAATTTAAGGCTTTGCTGACCAGTCTCTGTCACAAGTATTTACTTAGATTTGCTGTTATATGAAAGCAACCATACACAGTACATAGTCAAATGAACTTGGCGTGTTATCAGGCAGCAAGCTGATTTTGACATCTGGTCTGTAGTCACCACATACTGTCTAAAATGGTCAATAGTGATATATGACTTGACAGAGTGACCATTCCAAGAACTAATCACTATGCTTCCAAGTTCACCCTTGATATTTTTAAGTACATAAGTTCAATTTTATCTGTGAATTGAGTGGTGTAGTGTGAGAATTTCTTCATAATAACCATCTGAAAGAGAGTGGCCAGAATATCAGCTGATTAATTATTAAGTTTGAAATATATTAATATCTATTGGCCAGTGCCTTATCTTTTTGTAACAAGGAAACAGAATTACCCAATTCATATTTAAATGAATAATTGGTAAATGTAGATATAGAATAAAATTAAGTGGTAATACTGTGGGCTAGAGAGCTGGACAGTGACTAAAGATGACAGAAAAATTGATGCCTTTGAGTTGTGGTTCTGGAGAAGAGTCTTGAACATACATACTGTGGACCCCCAAGAAAACAAATAGATCTGTCTTGGAGATGGTGAAACCAACTTTCTCCTTGGAGGTTAAGATTTTGAAGCTCAGACTCACATACTTTGGGCATGTAGACAGGAAGGACCAGTCCTTGGAGAGGGACATCACACTCGGAAGGGTGGAGGGACTGAACAAGAGAGGAAGATCCTGGATGAGATTGATTGATACAGTAACACACGCAACGGGGGAAGATGTATCAGAGTCTGTGAGACTGGCTCAGGACAGGACAGTTTTCAGAGCTGTTGTACATATAGCATCACTATGAATCACGGGTGACTCGAGGGCACATAACAACAACAGTGAGCCATCCTTATTCTGGTATTAGTGTATGTCTCTGGTGACCAGAATAATCTTCTCCAGACTGTTTATCATATTTGAATGCATTTAGTATACATTTTCTAGATTTCTATATTCTTGTTCTTTAGAAACCTCCTAACTGGACTTTATATACAAGTTTCCTTTTATTCACTCATTTATTTTTTTTTCTCCAGAGCAAGTATAATGGATTGATATAAATTTTGATTAAGTTGTGTTGTTTAAATGTTACGTACCACCAAGTTGGAAGTAATTCATAGCTAACCCTCAAGCAGGTTTTTAGAGGCTGTAAATTGCAAGGGAGGAGATTACCCATCTTTTTCCCTTGGAGCAGCTGGAGGATTGGAACTGTCACCCTTTTGGATGACAGCAATAACTCATTATTTAATTGCTTCAATACCTATCTCAGGGCTTCTGAACAATAGGTTCTTACATGTTTATATTATGAATTAATAACTGGAATGTTACATTGACAGAAAACTACAACAAAGACCAGCTGGGTTTAGAAGAGGCCGTGGCATTAGAGACATTATTGCCAATGTCAGATGGATCTTGGTAGAAAGCAAAGAGTACCAGAAGAATGCCTAGCTGTGTTTCATTGACTATGCAAAAGCATTTGACTCTGTGGATTACAACAAATTGTGGCTAACCATAAGGAAAATGGGAATCCCAGAAGATTGTGCTTATGCAAAACCTATTCTTGGACCAGGATACAGTTCTCAGAACAGAGCAAGGAAACAATGCATGGTTCAAAATCAGGAAAAGAGTGTGTCAGGAACGCATCCTGTTCCCATACCTTTTCAATTTGCAGAACAGATCATTCAGGGAGCAGGGCTTTATTAGGAGGAGTGTGGCATCAAGATTGGAGGAAAACTTTATCAACAATCTATGATATGCACATGATGCAACCTTGCTTGCTGAAACTGGGAAAGACCTGAAGGGCTTGCTGTAGAAGGTCAAGGATTGTAGTCTTTAATAAGGATTGAAGCTCAACATTAACAAGAAGAGATTCTCACTACTGGGTCTATTGGCAGCACCGTGATAGATGGAAAAGAGATTGAGGTTGTGAGCAATTAACAGCTTGCTTGGCTCCACAATCAACACTCTTTAACACCAGCAGTCAGGATATCAAAAGACAAATTACACTGGGAAAATCTGCTGTCAGGGATGTCTCCAAAGTGCTGAAGAACAACGATGTCAGTCTAGAGACAAAGGTGTGCCTAATCCAGGCCATGGTCTTCTGAATTACCTGTTTTGCTTCAGAGAGCTAGACAATGACTAAGGATTACAGACGAAGAATAGATGCCTTCGAGTTGTGGTGCTGGAGAACAGTCTTGAACGTACCATGGACTGCCAAGAAAACAAAACCAAGTCTCTCTTTGGAGGCAAAGATTTTGAAGCTCCGTCTCACCTACTTTGGGCACATGGTCATGAGAGACTGGTCCTTGGAGAAGGACATCTTGCTCCGAAGGGTGAGGGACAAGACCGGAGAGGAAGACTCCAGTTGAGTGGATTAATAACATGAACTGAGGCAATGGGGGTAGGTGTGTCAGAATTAGTGAGATGCTCAAGACAGCAAGGATTCAGAGCTATTGTACATAGGATTGCTAAAGGTCGCAGGCGACTCAATGGCACATAACAAAAACATACTATATTTGTTGTTTTTCATCCTAGCCTCATGTTTAGAGTCAACAAGACCTTGGGGAGAGCCCTTATATTTAAGAGATATTTAAGAGTTGGTTGTTACTATATTTTGGAGAAACATTCTTCTAAGTAATACAGTACTCTTCTGTCAATATGCTGTACTGAGGTAACCTGGGGTTGCTGTGATGCTGAATCTGGTGCCATTGGGGTGTCAGATGGCATAATGGTTACCTATAGTGGACAGTGTTTGGTGGAGGTTCCAGTTATACAAGTTTGTAAGCAGGAGTGACATCTACTTCCTAAACAACATGCCTCTGGAAATTCTATGAACTTTAATAAATGACAATAGTATAGAAATACTTCAGGCCGTTTGTTCATAGGGTCGCTATGAGTCATGCTTGTCTTGACAGCAATTAACAGCAACAACAACTTTTCTTTTTAAAAACCATTTATTTAAAGAAATGATTTTCTACAAATTACTTACTCTCATCCATTTTGTGTTTTGCAACTATAGTCCTTAGAGTGATTGCATATATTCTTCAGCAGTTCTCTTGTTGGAACATACTGTTGCTGTTAAGTGCTGTTGAGTCGAACATGACCCATAGTAACCCTGTGAACAACAGACGTGAATCCTCTCCTACTCTTTGACACACTTGAACCTATTGCTGCAGTCACTGTGTCAATCCATTTTGTTGAAGGTCTTTCTCTTTTTCACGGACTCTTCCCCTTTCCAAAAGTAATAATACATTCAGTTAAATTAAAATGCAGCTGACAAATTTGGTATTGAATTCTAGCTGCACTGAATTATTTTATTGAGTTGGTTTCGGTTTTGGTGTTTTTCTAGTGAACAAGTCAGTGAATTTTTATATATAATACATTCAGGTATTAGATTCAGATAGAAAACATTATCCAAGTTCTCCAGAAAAAACATCCTCTATGGACCTTTCTAGTCAGTAATTCCCCTTCACAAATAATCACTATTTTGACTTACAGCATTAAAAATTAGTTTTTTAAGTTTCATCATCATATAAATGGAATCATATAGTATGTACTTTTTTGTGTGTCTCACTTATTTTCATTCAGTTTTATGTTCTAAAGATTTACTCTTGTTCTTTGCATATAGTAGTGTTCCTTTTTTTTTCATGTGATATACCACAATTTATTCACTCATTCTGCCTTGATGGGAAGACACTTGATTTATATGTCTATTGTAGTCTATTAGGAGTAAAGCTACCCTAAACATACTTTTCTGTGTCTTTTCATAAAAATGTGCTTTTGCATATTTTGTTTATATACCTGGGTCTGAGATTGCTGACTCCTAGACCATATATGTGTTTTTCTTTGGAAACTTAACTAAGCAGTTCTCCAGAGTAATTGTCCCAATTTACACTTCTGCCAGTAGTGTCTGAGAATATCGGTTCTCCACATTTTCACCTCTCTTAGTCTTTTTACTTTATTTTTACTTTAAGCCATTTAATTGGATATGTGTCACTATCTCAAAGTGGTTTTACTTTGCACCTGTGGTTAAGTATCAATGTTGGAGCATGTTTCTATATGCTTATTGGCCATTTTAATATTCACTTTTGCTCATTTTTAAATCAGCTTGTGATTTTCCAGCGATAGCTGTGTTATGTCCCATTGAGTTGGTACTAACTCATTGCCAACCCTCCGATGGGTATCCTCAGAGGCTATAAATCACGTGGGAGAAGACTGCCCCTCTTTCTTCTGTGAATCACCTGGTGTATTTGAACCATGAGTCTTTGGATTGGCAGCACAACTTCTTACCACTAGGCCATCTTCTAATCTCTGGCTTTCCTTTTCACTTGAGCATGTGTTCTTAATTTTAAATGACATGTATGTATCATCATTTTTTCTTTGCCGTTAGCTTCTTTTTGTGTTCTGTTTACAGAATTAGTCTGTTAAATTAGTTCTTCATCACTTTGTAGACATTGTTGAGACCTTATGAACCAAAACCCAGCACACTGCATTTGATTTTATTCCAATTCATAGTAACTCTGAAGGACAGAATAGAATTTGTCCTTTAGGTTTCTCCGGTTTTAAATCTCTACAGAAGCAAACTACCTGATCTTTTTCCTACAGATTAGCTGGTGAGTTTGAACTGCCATTTTTTGGTTAGTAGTCCACCAGAGTTCCTATAATGCTCTATTTTTTTCTTTCCTTTTATTCATTCTGTAATTTTTAATTCTACAGCTATTTTTTAAAAATCTAAGACATTGTTATTTTTGTTTCAAATAACCAATATTTAAATTTAGCTGTGTAATCTACCCTTTACTATTTTTGTTCTTTCTTGCACTACCATTTTTCCATGAGGAATTCTTTTCCATCTATATGAAGATATCCATGCTGTTGTTCTTGTTAGGTGCCATCGAGTCATGTACAACTCATATTGACCCTATGAACAACAGATCTGAATCCTGTCCTATCCTGTGCCAAACTTACAATTTCTGACACAATTGAACCCTTGCAGTAATCACTGTGTCACCCCACCTGGTCGAGAGTCTCCCTCTCATTCACAGCACTCCATCTTTCCAAGCATGATGTCCTTTCCCAAGGAATAACATCTCCGAGCAACATGTCCAAAGTATGCAATAAGAAGCTTCTTTGTCCCTGCCTCCACGGAGCATTCTGTGTCCACCTTCTCTAAGACATCACTGTTTGTTCTTTTGACAGTCTATGGGATATTCAGTACTCTCCTCTATCACCGCAACTCAAAAGACATCAATTTTTTTTGCTGTCACCAAATGCTCTTACATTGTATTTATCTATGTTCCCTTTCTCTCTTATTACGCCTGGTGTACAGCCTCCCTACTCGTCTGTCAGTGGAAACTTCTTTTCTGTTGTTATGATGCTGAATAGGTTTCAGCACAAGTTTCACACTAAATTGAACTAGGAAGTAAGGCTTGGCAGTCTACTTTCAAAAATCAGCCATTGAAAACCCTGTGGATCGCCACTGTCTGATCTGCAGTCAGTCATGAGATGGGACTGGACCAGGGAGCATTTTAAACTTAAATTCATTTTCTTTATCAATTTACTGTTTTCCAGTTTTTAGCCGCTTAGAGTATTATTATTATGACTCCATATTTGCCCATGTTCACGCAGAGAATTTACTACTTAAACATCCCACACTCTTTATGCTTAGTGAAGTAACTTAATCTCATAAGGACAAGTACTACTTAAGAGTATTATTGTGAAAACAGGAGGATAACTGAGCAAGATGTATATAATTTTTCAAAAGGGGAAAGGAGAAGGGACAGGAAAAGTGAAAGGAGGAAACAGTTAAGATAGCACAGGTTAGTGAGTGTGTGTGTGTGTGTGGGTGAGGAATGTTGTTTTGTGCCGTTCAGTTGCCTGCGCCTGATAGCTCCCTGTGTATAGTAGCTCTGAAGCCTGCTCTGTCCTGACCCAGTCTCACTGACACACCTCCCCTCATTACCCCAGTTATTATGGGGACTTGAAAAGACAGAGTGATAATAGGCATAGATCAATAGTAATTAATTGTATAAAATACAATGTATATGAATGATTGTATGCAAACCAACAAAAAAATACCAGGAGAAAAATCTCTTGCTTCTGGAATCACCGTGAGTGTAGGCCTGAATCAACTGAGGCACAAACTTGAGATTTGTACACCAGTGTTCATAGCAGCATTATTCACTTTCGCAAGAACATGGAAACAGCCCAAATGTCCAACCACAGACGAATGGATTGAGAAATTATGGTGCATTCACACAATGGAATACTATGTGGCACGCAGGAGCAATACTTTGTAAACTATTACCTAACTTGGGAGGGACTGGAGAGCATTATACGTGAACTAACTCAGCCCCACAAGTATAAATATTGTATAAGACCGTTATTGTTGAATAAGTATAACGATCCACGAGGGGTGGGAGAGGCAGTAAGCAGAGGGCTATGGATTGGATGTACAGGGGGAAAAGGGGATTAATCATTGGGTTGTACAATTTGATGGGCCAGGAGAGAGGTGGGGGCTGAGGGAAATTGAAAGAATTTGTTCGAATTTGTGTTAGGATTTTGTATATTAGCTAGTGGAGAAAAAACCCAAACAACTAACAACAGTATGTTATTGTTAGGTACTGGTCGTTTTGGAACCAACTCATAGCTGACCCTCCAGTGGGTTTTCAGAGGCCGTTTAATCACAGAAGAGATTGCTGATTTTTCTCCCATGGACCAATTGGTGGATTAAAACCATGTATCTTTTGAGATGTCAGCACAGCTCCTTTCTATTAGGCTGTGATAATGAGCATATGCCAAGTATATGACTAAACACTGTTACTTCATGTTCTCATTCAATCTGTTATAGGCAGGAGGAAACTAGACTTAATAGTAGGCTACCTATGGTTTGTCTAGTAAGTATTAATAGGCAGAATTCCAACCTTAGATCTTCCTGAAGTTTTAAGCTTATTTTCTTTATAGATCATTACTCATCAAAACTTGCATGTGTTCATATGGAGATTTTGTTAGAATGAGTGTGTTTTACACTTGATTTAACTTTTTTTCTCAAGCTTTGTTCATTTTTTTTTTTAATATAGGTGAGAAACCATACAAGTGTCAAATTTGCAATCAATCTTTTAGGATTAAGAAGACTTTAACCAAACACCTGGTCATTCATTCTGATGCAAGACCTTTCAACTGTCAGCACTGTAATGCAACATTTAAGCGGAAAGACAAGCTGAAATACCATATTGACCATGTTCATGGCATAAAATCTCCTGACGATCCTCTCGGTACCTCTGAGGAAAAACTTGTGCCATTGCCAGTAGAGTACTCATCTGATGATAAAATATTTCAAGCGGAAACAAAACAATACATGGACCAGACCAAAGTTTATCAATCAGAAGCCAAGACTCTATTACAAAACGTGTCCACTGAAGTATGCGTTCCAGTAACCTTGGTTCCAGTTCAGATGCCAGACACGCAGAATGATTTAGTGCGTCACACAACCACACTCCCACCATCTTCTCATGAGATTCTTCCACCCCAGCCACAATCAACAGACTACCCACGAGCCCCTGATTTAGCTTTCTTGGAAAAGTACACTCTTACACCTCAGCCTGCAAATATAGTTCATCCTGTCCGACCTGAACAAATGCTCGATCCTAGAGAACAGTCCTATCTTGGAACATTACTGGGACTTGATCACACTACTTCTGTGCAAAACATTTCTAATAACGATCATCACTCATGAGAAAATACGAACATTCCATGGACTTTTGGGATGGTTATGTGTGAATGTTAGCCTAGAGCTGATGGCTTTTAAATTAGTAGGGCTGCTATTATTTTTTTAATTTTATCTAGCTTCTCACATCCTCAGAAGAGTTTCAAATCAAGAAGAATAGTATGTGTATTGAACAAATGAAATTTTGGACATATTTTGAGGCATACTATTCAAAGTGAATATTATCGGGATTTTTAAAGATTATTTACTGCTAATCTTTAATAGTTTCTCAAACTTTTCTGAATTATTAGCTGCTGACATTGTATTTTTGTATGTTTTGGTTTGTTTGTTTTTTGTCATCAGTGGGAATTTCTATAATCTTATTTCTCTTTTCTCCCCCCACCCCTTATCTTTCAAACAAGTTTAAGGACCATGTAAGCCTTTAGAAGAAAACTAAGAGTACATTTTGCTAATTGCAGTTATTCCTTAAAGTTCATTATTCTTTCATCCACTTTTTAAAATTGCAATTATGAATTTGAATTTATAAGGAAACGTTGGCTATTTCTTTGCTGTTTTCCATCTACCTGTGTCTTAAATAGTCATTATTCCTTGAACTTTGGACAAATCCAAGGCCAGAAAGTTAATAAATGTGAGATTCACCCATGAAATAGCATACAGGGCTAAAATAATGATCAAGATAATTGATATTTGCCCGTACTTGATAAATATAGGCATTAAATTACAATTTGAAAATATGTTAGAAGAAAATCAAGTTCTACCAAGGTCAAGGTAAATTCACCTCTTCTATTTTGCCGTATGTTTCAGAAACATTAACAATAGGTCCTAGCATATATCAACACTTAATAAAAGAGGAGTGATAAAATTGAACTGAGAAAGAAACTTTTGGTTTCATTCACTTTGATTGACTGAAACTTTGGAAAGCAACCTAGATATTTTATGTGTTTTTTTGTTAGAAAAGTGCCAAAATTTGTGTCTTAATTGAATATGTTTACTTTACCTAAATGGAACCACTATTTGTATGCAGATTTGCATGTTATACAGGGTTTTGTTCTTGCTTTTCACATAAGCATAATGTCTGTAATTACCCTCAGTTATTTTTCTGCAAGATGGAAGCTGAGGGTTTGGTTAAGGACATAGAAATTACAGCAAAACCTCACTAATTAAGATCAATTGGGGGAAAAGTCAGTCAGAATTAGGAAATACTTTAAAGATACGCACTTTCAACATTTTCAAGTCAATTTAAACTAAGATGATAGTTCCTAGTAGTGCTTGAAGGCTTAGACCAGGCCTGGATGATCAATTCTTGGCATATTGTCTGTATGCAAACTACTGCATAATAACAATTTTAAAAGTTTTCCCTCTCAGTCTTGTTTACACTCCTTATTGCTTTAAGCACTTTCTTAGTGTAAACTGTAAAGTTAGGCCCAACCCTTGTGGATTAAAGAAAAAGAAAAAAAAATTACAAATAAAATAACAAGCTTTTAATGAAATTTATCCATTTAATAATGGGGAAAATTGGTTGCTTTAGCACTTAACAAATGGAGGTACTTTATAGGAACTTTCACATGACTAGGAAAGAGAAAAATGAGAAAGACTGTGAAAGAGGCACTTAAACCAAAGTAGTTCGTATGAATAATAAAACCAACCTGAGTTTTGCCTCACGTATCAGGATTTGGTTGTAATTATATTTGGGCCAGTGGACATAGCTAATATATCAATTCTTCTTTTTAAGCATACTTACTAACTTTCATGTGGAAATGTTGTATTTGAGGTACTTCCATAATTAAGCTTGACTGTTTGAGGTACTATTAGTCTATTAGTCTTTTCAGATTCTCTTTAAACAAAAATGCATTTTTTTGTGATTTTTTTTTACCATAAAGACTATGATTTCTAATTAAAATGCTTAATGTAGTGAAAAATCATATCTAAAAATGTATCATGCCTTATACATAAGCCAATGTAGACAAGTTTGGATTTCTAAAAGGATAAATGGCGTGTTTTGTGTGTGGATATTATATGTTTGGTGGCCAAAAAAAAGAGTATTGTATTTTCACGCTGAAAAGAATGCTTCACTTTTTTTGGTAGGTGTTTACTTTAGGGTTCATTTAATAATAATAATATCCTAATGCTTTAATATGATTTTATTTGTAGGAATTGGTTTACATAGAATTTTTCTGAGATCCAACGCTTATTGTAAAGGGAAATATAATTGTATTTCATTATTATTGTCAATGACTTTAACTTTTACAGTGAATTACTGTTTTATAAAATGCTTTTACATGTATTCTATAATTTGAACCTTATAATGAGTGCTAAAATAGAAAGGTCTTGCTGGATCCCTTTTAGTGATGAAGAATCTGAGATTACAAAAAGAAACTTGGTTAAACTCCCATGGCTAATGAGTGGCAGAGCCACTAACAGGAAAGAAAATCTAGCATAAAGAATGCGTAATTTGTGCCAGGCACTGCAATATCTCCTAAAATTTTAAGTAGTGTAATTCTTATGAAGGATCTATATAGAAAACAAGAGAACTAATCTGCTGCCTCTAATTTCCCCAAATAGAAGAAATTTTAAAATTGTAAAAACCTCATGGATTTGGGCAAACTGAATGTATGTTTTTTGAGTTGGTACAAAAAAAACATGAAATGAGGCCTACGTTATTTTTTTTCAGTTTACCTTTTATAATGTTTGATTTGGAATATTCTGGGCAAAAGTTCCAGTAACTCTAAAATCCATTATTTCTTTAATTCTCTTTAAAACTTTTAATCTTATAACTTGTTTAGCTTTATCCAGATTTTTAAAATTTTGTGCCAATAATTTATTGTTTTAAATTATTTTTACCTAATAGCAATTAGCACTTAATCTGTAAATGGAATAATTTATCAGTTTCAGAAATATGTTAACATAATCAGTTTTTACTTACATGTACCAAAGATTTTTTAGTAGGTATTAAATAGTTTAAATAAATTTAAATTCTTTATTGTGTCAATAAATACTTGTCCAAAGAAGCACAGAGGAAGTCCTAGGATTATGAAATTTTAAAAAAATACTAGTTTGAATGCTGACTCGTAAGTACACGTGTTTATGTTTGTAAAAATAAAAGCTAAAAGGAATGCTCTGGGAATAATAATATACTGACAAACCAATTACATGTAAAAATACTCAGTTTTTTAGTTAACTGAATGTTATTTTTCAAATGGACACTATTAAATGTTAAATAATAAGCTTATTTTTTACACTACATTTACATTTTTAGAATTATTTTTGCCTTTGAATTTTTTTAAAATTTTTGAGATTATTTTTGTATAAAAAAAAAAGAACCCACATGTATTTTGCAGCCTAAAAAAATCCGTTTAAAGTTATTGTTCCTCCTGCCAGCAAGATTTAACCAACAAGTGTAAAATCAGCAGTTTTTGAATATTTTTAATTAACTTGGACTTTTACTGCTGAGAAGAAATGAGTAGGAAAAAAATGGAATTTTAAACCAGTACTTTATTAAGTAGTCATCTTTTTACATTTTTTTAAAAAAATTAAGTGGCTTCTTTTTCAGTGATGAAATAGTTAATACTTTTCCGTTAACCTTAAATAGTGTCAAAACATCTCTGTCACTTTGTACAGTTAGTTAAGGGTTAGTAAATATCCTTCATTCCTTTTCACCCTATAATTGCAATCAAAACCACAATGTTTATTGAATATTCTCATCATATCACTCTAATATATTATTAATAAGAAGTTAGAGTCACAGCATTGAACAATGCCCTTTTATACCCAGTCTTTTCTGAATTGAATGCTCTGTGCCTTTTCAGTGTGTTGTAGTTCCCTAGAGTTGATTCTAGATAAACTAGATTGAAATATTTAATTATTTTTTTGTTATTGTTATGGATCATATGTTAGGAGATGTTACCTGCAGGTTAGGTAACTTTTTTTTTTTTTTTAAGATTTATGTTTATGTAGGGAAACAGGCACTAAGTACTAGCAAGAATGTATTTTTCATGGTTTATACATCCCAACATTTTTTCTCATTGTGACCTTTATAGTTAAGCCACTTTGGGGCATGCCTATTAGAGATGCCTATCAGAGAAATCTTAACAAAGTGACATAAGAGTGGTGTGCCTGTCTCTGTCCCACCCACTGTATTCCCTGTCCTCTCCACTGTTTTTTGGTTCCTTTAGAACCCATGTACTGTGACCATCAAGCTCTACACTGAGCAGCTTCTTATTTCAGTTTGCCTAAAACTGAACAAGAGGTTATGTTTGAAATGAGTTTCTCAGTAGGAGCAGCAACATTCCAACCAAGGTATAACTTGAGTTGATGAGCTCAGAAAAAATTAGGACTTTCCATGAAGTCATTCCTAAAAGGAACTAAATGGATTTCTTCTATGACTTAGTGCCAAATTAAAATCATTGATAATCTATTCTTTCATTAAGGGAGTAAATAGCATTTCTGAAACTCCGAAAAGTAGTGCATGAAATGTATTCATTCATTAAGGGAGTAAGTAGCATTTCTAAAATTCTGAATAGTAGTATGTGAAATGTTACTTGAGTGGATAATATGATTGATTTCTATAAACAACAAAAAATTTATTTCTTAAATTCTCTTTTTCATATTTCCTTCTTGGTATATAGTATTTAGTTTCTTTTGGAAGTGACCTCTGCTCCATTACTCTAAAATTATTTCTAGTTAAAGAATGCTAGTGTATGCTGCTTCATTGGTAACAGCATTAATAAGATAGAAATAATAAGGTTAGGTTGTGTGAATAATGAGAGAGAAATAGAGATTGCTTATGTTTTATGTTCACTCTTCATGTTTGGATTCGATGTGTAATGATCATAAAAGTATGGCAAATAAACTCCCAACATTTTAAATTTAGCTTCTGCAGCCATTTATAGAAACAAATTAAGGATTAAATTCAGAGCAAAGAAGTTACACATAGGTGAGTGGAACTGTTTTCCCCCATATTCTTGGATAAAGAAGTAATTTCAGTGTTTGCAATAATGTTGGAAATTCTACAGTGTTTCTTGAACAGA